GTTACATTTGGGAATTTATGAATGATTTGAAAATGTTTGTTTTTGCAATAGAATTTAACTTTTATGGCAAAACTGATAATCTGTGCTCTGGCTTAACAGCAAAATATATTGTGATGATATCTAGTGTTGCACTGAAGGATGATTCTCAGAATCAAAACCAATGACAACAGCCCTAGTTCTTTACCAGAGACATTAGTTAAGGTTAGCTCCTTTATTAAGGAAGAAAAAAAATTAAAATGATATTTAAAAAGAGCTTATTGACACATTTTGACATATTCCAGTATTCAAATATTCTCAGTTTCATTATTGTCTTGATGTCACACACCACAAAACACAGGAACACCTGCAGGACAAAAATGATTTATTTTGCATTTTCACACACAGTCACCACACAAATAACAAATGAACTAAAAGTCTGAGGAAGAGCTTTGTGCTGGAAACATCACACAGCAAAACAAGAGGTATTTGATCTGGCTCCATTTTGTTGGATCTGGGATATGTGCATGCATGTCATTTTCACAGCTTATTACTGGACTGTCACTGGTGGCCTGCAATTCGGACAACTTCAGGCAGCCGCCGTCCAAAAGTCCAAGCAGACCGCACCAAGCGCACTCCTTGATCGCCTGAGCGGATCCTGCGCTTTTTATCTAGCGCCCCTGCTGTCACCCTCCAACATCGCAGCTCAAGTTACACTGCGCATGTGCAATCCCCCCATGTTTGACCCCGTGTCTCAGCCTTCTCTTGAACAGGAAACGGGCCTAAACGGACCAGCGGCCGTATTCTCAAACATTGTGAGAATCCTCTTGAAGAGCTCCTAACTTAGACTAAAATTTGTATTAAGGAGTTTGAGCTTAGGATTGATTTAGGAAAGTTCTCAGAGCAACTCTGAGCAAGAGACAGAAACCTTTATCTTAGTGAGGAGGTGTGGTTGACCCTGTTGCTAGGTGTGATGCTTTCTTTTAACTGATGTGATTGGTTGTCACAGACACGGCCCTCTCTGAGCCTGTAAGGTGAGGACACCCAGTGGAAATGAAATGACCTGCTGACTGTGAAAGTGTTGTCATTGTTAGTGTGATCACTGCTGATGGAAGGTTGAGACAGACTCAAGTCATCTTTACAGTTTTCCAAATACCTTAGTGTTGTGATCATTTTATTTCTGGTGTTATAGTGTTAG